TAATATTAATTATGTAAACATCATAAACATTTATTTTCAGTGTTGATTTTTGGGTAATGAAATTTAACTTTTACGTCAAACAAAATATTGTCTTGATATTTTTATATCCTTATGATTCCAAAATTATCAAAATGGATCAACTGAAGGAGAAGCCATGAAGACTCCCTCATATTATTGTCTTTAAGGCATAAGACAAAAATAACTTAATAATACTAAAAAATACAAACAGACACGTAATATTGTCACTGTTTACATTGACTAGGCTACGATATTTTTTCAGTTTTATAAAAAACATGACATCAACAATTAGCTGCTTCTTTACCCCTTATTGTCGTCTGGAATCTATACAATCACATCTGTGGTCGTCTTAGTTGTTTTTGGTATGACAACACAAGTTGTTTCTTAACTCGAAGTCCATATTTAAGGAAACTATTACAGTGTGAGTGGGGTAGTGTATGATGTATCCACCATGGTAATACTTTGTTCAGGAAATTCACTGAGTTTTCTGAGGCTACTCAATTATGAGAAAAACGTAGTACGACTTTTTCTATATTTTCACTGAAATTTGTTTTTAAATTTCTATATGGTATGAATAATGGATATATTTATATATCATAACATTCGCCTCTGCCGTGTATCTGTAAGTAATATGTCTTGTCTCAGCCATGAAGAATAGTCAATGAAAGCGTAGGTGAAACACATATAAGAGTATAGTTGCGGAAATGTGTTCCTACACCCCCTGTGGTAACACGTGTCACCAAACGGCCAACCTATATGACCTATAGCAAACCTATCCATCAATTACGTTCGTTGTTACATAACTTATATCCATTCATTCATAAATAATGATACTACTGCTGTGACGGTGCTGTTTGGAGATACGGGTTACCACAGGAGGTGTAGGAACACCTTTCCACAACTGTACCAGCCTCCAAATGTATCACTTCCTCCTCACTCACAATAAGACAAGGTACCACACAACTACCATTGAAAGTTTCTTTTGACTCGGAAGTTTGTTATTTAGTTCTCGAAGTTTTTTATTATTTCCCGAAATTACCCTGACAATGTAGCGGATGATGATGTCAGAAAATAATAACAAGAAGTAGACGTGATGAACTCTTTGAGAGGAGAGTTAAAAACAAAGGCAGTACTGTAGCTGCAAGCATTACCATCAAGAACATTACACTAGGCAGCTGTTTACAAGACAATTACTCCTCAGTAGAGCAGATAAAGTCTTTTTGCTTAAGGCAAGTAATAAGTACAAAATCACTTCAAAGTTAGTGTGGACGGATAACATTTAAAACGTTTCCTATTGCTTTCTCGTCTTCTTATGTATTGTATCCGGAAGAGTTTGCGTTAGGACTTGAGACGCTCCAACTCATATTTGTGATACTTGTAGGTTGGATTACGTCGTGGAGTTTTCTGTTGAGGTGAAGTGAAAAAAGGGAAAAAATAACTCCGTGGAACAAGAGGTCGATTAACATTGTATAATTTAATTCCTCAAGGTCGAGGGTTGAACAGAGGCATGGTGCTGGAGGTCGAGTAGAAGTGAGAAACGTCACTCCATGAAGCTGGAAGGTTGTGGGGAAGTAAGAAACATCACTGCAAGGGATTGAAGGTAGAGAAGGGACGTAGAACACCACTCTGAAAACTGTAGACGTCTTGTCAGTCTAAATCACACAAGCATCTCTGTTGTCCGGTTAATCTTCATCAGTCTAGTATTATTCACTCTATGAATTTATGTGATATAAAGCAAACAATATAATAATCAATTTGATCTTTCAGAAGAAAAAATGCTAAATAATCTACTGAATATCGGTAAATGTCAGGAAATATACATAGATTTCCAACAAAGTCAAAATAATCAGAATTTAATGTTACGTTGCAGTGGACAAGGGATAAGCTTCACCATCTCTTTTGTCGGTTAAGAAAAACAAATTTAAAAAAAAATGTTTTCAAGTGAACAAATTACAAATATTGGTAAGGAAACTCATCCACGTGAAAAAAATCATATATTAATGCTTCTTTATTCCACCATGTACCAGACACATACCGCCTCACCCCAGTCCTTGCACTGCAAACATAGAACTTACACTTGCTCTAAAACGATGTCACCTACTCAAAACATGGCAGTGCACGCTTTTCACATTAAATGACGTTTACATAACCGTTCGCTCACCTCACAGTTGACTCTGCAAACAGGTGCTGGCCCGGTAGTTGAACTGTTCAGCGAGAATGTCGCCTCTGACGGTGGTGAGAGGTATCGTTTGGAGGTGGGTGTCGAGGGATGGGGGCTGGGTCATGGTGTTGAGTAGAGCTGGGCGCATCGTGTGGAGACATATATCGCACTGAGCAGGACCTCGACGACCACCTGCAGTCAGCACACCTGAAATACGCACATATACACCTGCCTCATTCACTGTTTACTCTGAAGGGTACTCATGTCCGTCTACCTATCTGCACTCTTGTTTGTGTTTTTCTTTCTCCCTACTTTTTGTGTGTGTGTGTGTGTCTGTGTGTGTATGAGCATATTTTTTGTACTGTATGTGTAAGGCATGCTCATCCTCGCACATTCGTTGAGGTTTATTTGATAACTGACTGAGTGGCGAAAACAGACACAATTACAGCAGCCTCCCTCCCATTCCGAAGAGCCAAGTAACTTTGACGACTTAGTGATAAAATATGAAAATTTCGTCTAACGATCTTCACCGCGGAGTGAGCCATAACCTATGTCTCCTATTGACACAGTCTGATGCCCTCCGGTGCTCCCTGGGACCATAATTTCACTTTTAGGTCTGTAGTTCATCCGATCTAGTGAGAAAAAAATGGATCAACCTAGTAAATACCTGGGATTGCAAAAAATTGTTTCTACACGAAAAAGAGCAACAGTTTTGTGAACATCAAAAGCTTAGGTCCGGATACCTGTCCAGTTTGAGTGAATCAAATCTGGTTGACGTACTCGTGTGGCACCCTTTCTAACAGAGATACAGAGCTGTTTGTAAATAGACATTCAGAACTGTAGCATCTTGAAATATACAAACTCAAGGCAACTGTTAATAATTAATTAATCAGAGTTTTATTTATACGCTGAAGCAGAAGTTTCAAGGCAGAAACTTTTAGACTATGGGAAGGTGTGTAACAACCGTCACTGGAAGAAGCAAAAAAAAAGTCTTCACGATTGAAAATTCAAAGGGGAACAACTGTAGTGGTCAACAGTGAACACTAACCTCTACGTTGAAGATAATTTGTAGACACTACATTTTTATAAAAGTCTCAACAAATGTATCACTGCGCATACGAGCTATATTCCGAGTAATTATAGTAATTCAATTGCGTTCTAATGTTTATTTCGTTGATTGTCCAGGAAAAAAGGTCATGGCACATATATATTGTATATTTAACTTTTACTTGCAGATTCTTTCATGCATACTGCTCTGTATATATTTTTTTATTCGTTTGATCTGGCATTTTATTCTCTGATCCTCCAACATTTGCATCCTGTTTAATATTTTTCCTTTGTTGAATATAGAGAAGTAATTTAGTTTTCAATCTCAGCACCAAACCAATCATCACAGTTTCAAATATGCTTCGAGTATTTCGAAGGTAAATTCAATATCTCTTAGTTTCGCAAGCAATGGCACACCTTATATACATTTACTTGTATGGAGACAAAAAAATCACCACATCAAATTTTTACATATACAAAAAATACATCAGTTACTATATGATTTGATCGATAAGGACTGGTGTTTATTATGATACCTCGCCATCACTTTATACCACTGGATGTTTGTACTATGCAATCATGAGCGGCATTCTGGATAATACCGACGTCTATTCAAAACCCTTTATCATTTTCGAATACCTACCACTATGTTTTACACACAACCTTTCTCCCACACATATCAGTTTTCTTCCTATCTTCTTTTCCCTTTCTTCCCTCGCTTTCCTTCCTCTTTGACCCTTCACCTATTCACATCCTTCTCCCACGTTTCACAGTTACGAGTGTTGATTCCTTGCCTCCCTCTTTACCTCCTTCTCCCTTGACTCAACGTAGCATCCATACCTCTCTACCTCCCTCCCTCCCTCCCTTGCTCTTCACTCCCCGTAAACTACCTCCCTCCTTCTCCCCTTGACTCACCGTAGATTCCTCCCTCCCTCGCCCTTGACTCATCATAGAGTTCCTCCCTCGCTCTTGACTCACCGTAGTGTCCCTCCTTCGCCCTTGACTCACCATAGTTTCTCTCTCCCTCGCCCTTGACTCACCGTAGAGTCCCTCACTCCCTCTCCATTGAATCGCGGTCGAGTCCCTTCCTCCCTCGCCCTTGACTCACCGTTGCGGGCGTTGAGTCGTTCCCTGGAGGAGTAGACGACGACATGGTTGTTGGAGCGGAGTGACCCCGGCGTTGTCCTCAATGTCCCGTTCACCCCCTGACGCGAGTCTGAAACACCAACACTGAACACCTGAGTCACTGTCTGAAACACCGGAGTCACTGTCTGAAACACCGGAGTCACTGTCTGAAACACCGGAGTCACTGTCTGAAACACCGGAGTCACTGTCTGAAACACTGGAGTCACTGTCTGAAACACGTACATTTAACCAGCCTGAGTCAGAGGCAACACTGAACACTTGAGTCAGTGACAGCAACACTGAACGCCTGAGTCAGAGGCAACAACAACACTGAACACCTGAGTCAAAGGCAACAACACTGAACACCTGAGTCAGAGGCAACAACACTGAACACATGAGTCAGGTCACCAACACTGTACATCTGAGTCAGAGGCAACAACACTGAACACCTGAGTCAGTTCACCAACACTGGACATCTGAGTCAGAGGCAACAACACTGAACACCTGAGTCAGATCACCAACACTGGACATCTGAGTCAGAGGCAACCCTGAATCAGATCACCAACACTGGACATCAGAGTCAGATCACTAACACTGTACACCTTAGTCAGTTTATCAACACTGGACATCAGGGTCAGATCACCAACACTGGACATCAGACTTAGATCACTAACACTGTACATCCTAGTCAGTTCACCAACACTGGACATTTGAATCAGATCACCAACACTGGACATTTGAGTCAGATCACCAACACTGGACATCAGGGTCAGATCACTAACACTGTACATCCTTGTCAGTTCACCAACACTGGACATTTGAGTCAGATCACCAGCACTGAATATCTGAGTCAGATCACTAACACTGGACATCAGAGTCAGATCACTAACACTGTACACCTTAGTCAGAGGCAACAATACTGATCACCTGACTCAAGAGGCAACATTCTTGAACATCCGTAGTCAGGGGCAACGACACTGAACACCTGAGTCACTTCACCAACATCTGAGTCATAAAAGTAAATACGAATTTTCCTTTGAAATAGGATAGACTTATTTATCTCCTGGCTTCTTTTTGTGATGTAAAGAGCTTCTAGTAACTTGTTGTGTAACATATGAGAGTTTTGGAACTTCAAAGTACTGCACTACTAGATCAGTTGGATCATTTAGTCTTTGTAGCAGGCTTAATGGGAGAGCTCAGAGCAGTCCTGTGCATGTAACAAAGGAAAAAGATGTAACAGCGTGTATAAAAAGAAATCAGAAAAATGTCTTTGCTATATATATATATATATATATATATATATATATATATATATATATATATATATATATATATATATATATATATATATATATATATATATATATAAAGACATTAAGTAATTTGAATTTCAGAGTAGTGAGGTGTTTGTGCGAGTCAGCTCGTGTTCATTATACACAAACACAACAATTGGCGCTCCACTTTGGTTCCTGCCACGGCTGTATAACATTCTGTTTTATATGCAACTACCAGTGTAGACGCGGGCTATCTCAACCCCTGGACTTACAGTTAGTGGGAAGGGAACTTGAGCTACGAGAGAGTAGTTTAGGTGTAGGCTCTTTTAGCACATCATGGTTCAGTGGATAAACACACTGGGTGATTATTGTTTTCTTTGAAATACACCCAAACATGACTCAAGTGTGAATTCACATCGGTTGTCGACGAGGATCAAAGAAATGCCTAAGTCACATTGGCTTTCCGTGTCGACCTGAAGTAGAAACTTGTAAAGGTCACGGCAAGGACCATCTCCTCTGCAACAGTTTACGTGTTCTTGTGATGGTAGGAGAGAAAACCATATCTAAGACAGAGAAAGCAATAGTTCGTCTCAACCGAAGCATCGAAGAGTTTGGATTATGAAGGATATATTTAATCAGTCATACAGGCGACTCTAACCTGGGATTCGTAATTCGGAGCTTCAGAAATATCCCACAGGTTTTGCTCCTGACCGCTTATAACTTAATTATTTCTCACCAAACTTCCTCTTCCCACAATTAACTTATCATACAATCTCGTCTTCGTCGTAAATATCCAGTTACATAATGAGTTAATTAGAAAATCATGAGTTCGTTTGCTCCTCCTGTGTTTTGGTACACAGTGGTGATGACAGTGTCTAGTTTTCCCGGGCTCACTCTAAACAGATATCATATACTGTACTAACATAAGTACACACCGCCGTAATTAAACACATAAATACTAAAAAAATAACCACACCGTTATAAACATTTAAACCCAAACACACAATCACAAAAATGAAAAATATAGAGTAAGTGTTTGGTTGAACCATATATCATACTCAAAACCAATTGCAAAAACAAGTTCCAAACCACAACATAACATACTACGTTCATCATACATGTAATGACATCAAAACAATAAATGTTTTTTTATAATGAACTCTGTAAATTCTTTAAATATGCGTTTGTCTAATTCTCCAGAGTTCAGTGTTAAATTTGAAAATTTAAATTGTAAAGAGAAACAGTTTCAATCGTAATTTTCGTTTTCATAAAAGGAAATTATTTCAATGAGGAATAATTTAACATGATTTTACTTGTATCAATTTATATCAAAATCAATAAGAATAGAAGCAATATGGATAAAATAATAAAACAAAAATATTAATGACAATAGTGATTATATATCTAAAGGCGAAAACTTTAATAATAATTAGGTTACTTATTATGCAAAATTAAATGATAAATATGATATTAGTAACGCTGATAGTAATACTTATATATTACTACAACTAATATTATTGCTACTACTACTCCTCCTCCTCCTAATAATAATAATAATAATAATAATAATAATAATATTAATAATAATATGTACTACCACTACTAAAAATAATAATAATAATAATAACGATTAAGAAAATAATAAAAGTACTTTTAGATGAAAGAAATATAAAAACAGAAATAAATTAATTACGTTTTATACTTCTCAGTAACATGGTTGATTACTTGTCCGCTATAAATGGCGATTAATTACAGATAAGATCATGGTATCATCTTAATTTTGGCATTACGGTTCCAGGTATATAGAAACTAATTTATTTGTCGTCACATAACCACCATATCGAGAGTTACACAGCACATAGATGATAATAATGATATTTTAAGAGTCTGAATTAAATTATTACAATGAGCCACTAGAGAGTTTGTGTTGGGGTGAAATACAAATCGATGGTCTCATTAACTCATACAAAGTGGCCTTGGTAGTGGGTGGTTGTGGTAGTAGGAGAGTGACAACAACTTGGTGGTGATAGGAACGTGACAACAATTGGATGGTGGTAGGAGAGTGACAACAACTAGGTGGTGGTAGGAACGTGACAACAATTGGATGGTGGTAGGAGAGTGACAACAACTTGGTGGTGGTAGGAACGTGACAACAACTAGGTGGTGGTAGGAGAGTGACAACAACTAGGTGGTGGTAGGAACGTGACAACAACTAGGTGGTGGTAGGAGAGTGACAACAACTAGGTGGTGGTAGGAACGTGACAACAACTACTGTAGGTCGTGGTAGGAGAGTGACAACAATTGGATGATGGTAGGAGAGTGACAACAACTTGGTGCTGATAGGAACGTGACAACAACTAGGTGGTGATAAGAGAGTGACAACAACTAAGTGGTGGTAAGAGAGTGACAACAACTAAGTGGTAGTAAGAGAGTGACAACAACTAAGTGGTGATAGGAGAGTGACAACAAGTAGGTGGTGGCAGGAGGAGGAACTCACCAGAACGAGACCTGGATGAGTGGTCGTCACAGGGGGGACAACGACGCTCCAGTTGAGGCGAACCGTCATAGTTGGAGGGTCGTCGTGGGCACTTGAGACACAGGCACTTCAGCACCACCTCCTTGATGTACGACCTGAACCTGCCAGTGGAGAGATCGTGTGAGTGTGTAGTGGCTTCTCTCACTCTCTCTCTCTGTTTAGTTATCCCTCTCTTCAGCATCACCTTCTTGAAGCACGACTTGAATCTGCCAGTAAAGAGACGGTGAGCGTGCCTGGTGGCCTCTCCAAATCTTTTTTTTTTCCCTCGCTCTCTCGCACTTTCTCTCCCTCCCTCTCTCTTCTATTTCTGTTGTTACTCTTTAACTCCTTCAATATCCTCTTTGTCTCTCTCTCTCTCCCCCTTTAATATTTCACATGAAACAACAGACAATCATCTGCCTGTCTAAGGAGATGAGGGGATACTTACCTGGCATTCATCCAGTAGTAGATGACCGGGTTGATCATAGCGTTGGCCATGGCCAGCCAGTAGAAGGCCAGGTAAATGTGCTGGATGTGGGCCGTGTCGAGGATCTGGGAGTTGTGGAAGGTGTAGAGGAAGAACGCTTGTTGTGGCAGCCAGCACAGCCCAAACATTGTCACGATGATGATGAACATCTTCACCACCTGTTACATACATTGGTCATATTCTTCTCATACACTCACGTTCTACTCTACAGTCATATTCATTAACTATCTATTGCATAACTAGCATCATCTCTGGTGACGGTATTTCCATCAACTTGTTTAATTTTTAACCAACACCACGTTGATGTCAGGTTTATACTGGTGTTTGAGGACATTACCGCGATAAGATTTCTTCAGCCGCTGTCAGACACATCATTGTAGGAAATGTTGATACCTGCGTTTACGTAATCATCCCGAGAAAGATGTTCTACCCCGATCTAGTACAACAACGTTAATGTGCTTATTCTGGCAAATTCCTTCTCATTGTGGTGGTAAAATTATCCTATTCATTATAAATATTCACAGTGCCTGAATAAATATGATTATGATCACTATGAACATCTCCGCATATTCAGAAAGTTGTATCATCACTACAGCATTATCATCTCGCTGTATCTTTTTTTATCTATTCCCCGCATCTTTAAGACCAAGAGACCCATCATTATCTTCATTAAGAAGGCTTCTATCAGTACTAATTGAAGATATTTTTCTCTCGGCAGAATTTCCATTGAACAGTAACATCATCTCGTCTGGAGTTTCTGGAAATACACCAAAAGGACCTCCCTCTTTTTGGAATACTTTTTATATGCCACCTAAGAGCTAGTTAATATTACAGAAAGGTTGAAGACTTTAAGGTCACTCTTGTATTTGCTGGCTTTATACCACCGATTACTTTTTACAGGTAAACAGAAGAAATTTGGCTTTCATTTTCCAAAATATCTAAATAGACGTAACTCTGACAGTGGTGTAAACTTGTTTGAATTATATCGGCGCTCGATATCGATTCCTCATTGTGCAAGTGTCCGGGGAAGGATCGTTGTGTGTTTCAAAATACCAGCTAGTTTGTTATCCTTCTCATCCTTGATATTCCTATTATTACAAGAAAACGTTGTAGTTAATTTACTCACATATAACAATAATGAATATAGACATACGATATATATAAAACGATATTAATGATATAGGAGCCGAGTTACAGAGTGATTGTATTGACCAGGCACTTACCTTATACTTGGACTTGGTGATCAAATGGACCTGTCACTCACCTGATGATCAAGGGCAGTGGCCGAAATCTAAACTGGCGGTAAGAGGTATCCGTCCTCCGAAGATAATGCTATCCAGGCCGCCACCATCTTGGTCATTGGAGTTAAAATACATGGCGACAGATATTGACAGGCTAGATCTGCCCGACCTTTATATCAATGAACAACTCAGAGAAGTTTTTGATACCAACGATCAGATTCAATTTTACTCGTACCCTCCTGACTCAACCTTCTCATATATAAAAAGATTATCCACTGACGTTATGGGACAAGTTTAAAAATATTAATATCGTACTTGTGAAGACACTTTTTTGAAGTCAAATTTTCGTTCAAGGTTGACTGATAATCACTCACATTAGTGCTCATAATTCCCAGTGGGGGATAGCCCAACGATTAGCCCCCTAACTTATTTGACGCTACTTGGGAGGTGAAGTTAGTTGAGATTAAGTTACAGATTGTGAGGTTAAATTAAGGTTAGAGTGGTTAATCTCAAGTTGAAAGAAGATTTTTCGAGGTGACAAACTTTGTTGCAGATGGCACTTTACCTGTTATTTACACTTCAACACTTTGTCCACCTCTGAGAATATATATTACGTTTCTCCTCAGTATTCGCATTTCTCGGCTCAGTGCTTCTCAATCATCAACACTGGCTCTAAGTCCCTTACCTAATTGAGCAAACCTGTCACTTATCTTATACGTGAACCTGATGATTGAGAGGACCTGTCAGTCGGACCTGATGATTGAAAAGACCTATCACTCACCCTGCGCTTGGACCTGATGCTGGCCGCTTGGCGATCTGTAAGCTCACCAATACTGCGACTACCCCAGAGTTCCCGACCAATAAGGAAATAACACACCAGCATCACCAGCATTGGCAGCAAGTACGTCGTGATGAAGAACACGATGTTGTAGCTGTGTGGGAGAGAGAACATTTTGTTTTAGTTACTTGATGGAGATGGAACCGTGTTATAGGTATGAGAGCGAGAGAACACGATTTTATAGCTGTGTGAGGGAGAGAAAAGTAGATATGAAAAGTAAGTATAGAAAGAGTGAGACCGCGGCAGAACGAGGGAAAAACGACGGACGAGAACTCTCATATGTTTTCCTATATTGATCTATTTTTATCCAATTCTTATGCAGTTCCCATTACATTTTAACTTAACATCTGCTGCATAAATATTAGATTCCCATTTAATTTTTGCCCATATTTTTAAAGGGATCCGATCCTGTCTTTGTTTGTGTTTCCATTATGATACCATCTAAACGTAGTTCAAACCCCAGCTTCTATCTATATTTCTATTTACATCTTCGATCTATGTAATATGTACGTAAAACCAAACGCATATTTATCTCTGTCTATTTCATTCCCATTCTTATTCCAACCCAACACAAATTCCATATTCGATAATCCCCGTCTTCTTCCTCAAACCTTTGAATATACACACAAAAACTTCCTGTCAATCTTTCATCGAAAATATTTCTGCAGAATAATGATATTGCGAAGAGTTTTTGGCCAATGAAGTAAATCTTTTAGATAAAAATACAAAAAATTTCACCACCGATATCAAACTCAAGGGCAAAAATTGGCTGAATGTTCTTGCGAGAAAAAGAAATAGAGGAAAAAGACGATAAGTTTGTATTAAAGAAAAATACGGAGATAAAATATTGTTAAATCTGGCGACACTTAGAGACCTCTCACCAAGATGGCTCCCGTAATGACCAAACTCTCTTGTCGTACATTTCTTTTATCTTTTTGAAATTTTCCGGTTCCTGTTTAATCCCCTTATCTCTTATGTAGTCGACTAACCAACGCTATTATTATTTTTCGATTTTATTTTTTTTGTAAATGAGTATTTTTTTCTGTGAGAAATAAATTTTGTAAGTTCTAAATATTTTTAGATTCTCACATACAGTACAGTATTTTAGGACTACAAAATCCTTAATGAAAGGAATAAAATTCGTACTGATATAATGAATAAATGAATAAAATGAATAAATATAGCGACATTCAGTTAAGTGAAACCTTTACAAACTATTTTCCGCAATGTAGATTTTTATGAATACATTGGGGGAACACAGGGAAGTGTGTGGATAATCTTTCTATTTAATGTTCTCGTCCTTACCTGTTACACGCTATAATCATTTTACATCACTATTACCATCCTCTTTCTTTGTTGGTATCTATTCTTTCCTTTGGTCTACCTCAAGATTTTAAAAGAGAGAGCGGAGGAAGGAGAAATAGTGCCAAATAAACAATGAGTGAGACAAAACTTAGAAGAATGTTGTCATTACGTATAAAAGAAAAAAGAAATGATTAATTATTGGAGATAGTTCAGTGGTGGCGGCTGGTAAAACGGACCTTAGTATAAAAGTATTCTACAAGTCCTAAGATAAGCCTTAATATATGAAACACCACACTATAGAACTAGACATTTTTGTGGTACTAATAAAAAGTATTATTTATCGTCCTCTCGTAACTGTTAGATTAATGATACCTAATTAATCCGACATCATTTCTCATTATAACAAAGGACTGATATAATTACAAAACAAAATCTAATATAATAGAGTTCCTTTGTTCTTAATGATATTGAGTTAATGACAAACAATATCATTAGTGTAATTAGGCACACGGTCAATTTACACTTAAATAACCACCTTACATAAGTATTAATATTATCACTATTAAAAACATATACAATTCCCTTTCGATTTCTTTCTCTTTTTGTCTTACTCGTTTCTTATGTCTGTTGTTATTTTACCGTTCTTTCTATTTCCATCTTCTGTCTGTTATTTTTTATGTTTCCACCTCGTTTTGCCGGTGTATCTATCTCTCTTTATCCCTGTCGTTCTGCCTGTCTGTCTCTTTCTTCCTATCTCTCTTTATTTTTCTGCCTGTCTTTCTATCTTTCTGACTGACGCACTTCCCATCTCTCTCTCTCTACGTCTGTCTGTCTGTCTATCTTCTTATCTCTGTCATTCTGTTTGTATTTTCATTTTCATTTTCTCTGTCGCTCTGTATGTCAGTCTACCCCCCCTCTCTCTCTCTCTCTCTCTCTCTCTCTCTCTCTCTCTCTCTCTCTCTCTCTCTCTCTCTCTCTCTCTCTCTCTCTCTCTCTCTCTCTCTCCATCTATCTCACTACCAATTTCTCTTTGTCGCTTTGTCTGTCTTTCCTCTTATCATTATCGTTCTAAAGCTTCTTTTCTTGTTATACTTGTGATCAAGATCTTCTCACTGGGCAGATAACCAATAATAATATCCTGGCCGGCATTAATGCAACGCAGGTGAGGTCATACGAAAATAAAGAAATAAGAGCACATGATTAGGAGGGATAAATAGAGGATTAGGAAGAAAAGGTAGCAAAAGGGAAGGAAGGAGGGAGAAACAGAGGAAGAGGAGGAGGGGGAAGCAAAATGGAAGGAAGGAGGGAGAGAGGATATCTAAGCTAAACTGATACTTGTCACTAAATACACAAAGGTAGAAATGATCACCTGACGACGAAACTGAGACATCTATGTTTGAGAGAGAGTTCATAATACGGAGTGCATAATAACATAACCATCTTTTATACTGTCCTCTCTCCTCATTCACTTCTTCCACTTTACCCTGGCTTTCAATCTATAGCCCTGCATTGTTATATCCCTTCATATTTTTGTGTGCCCTGAGAAACGACCGTATCTCCCCTGCCTCTCCTCCATTTCTCTCTCTTCCCCAATCTCCTCTTCTCCTCTTCCTCCTGCTCCCCCCGTCCCCCCCCCCTAGACCTCCTTTCCACCACCCCCTCCCTTCTCTATACCTCGTCTCCAATTCCCCTCACATCTCACACATCCTTCATCATCTTTAACATTCCGAGTTTCTCTGTTTTAAAAGATTACACAAATTCTAGACGTGAGAACGGAAGATGATAGCTCGAATAGAGAGTTGGTGAGGAGGGACTAAAGGTTAACTTGGACAAGAACAGACTAACGAACAATAGTATGTCTCTATATAAATGCAGATCTATACAGAGTGGCAATACAGTGTACGTTATTGGCTATATTTCGGTAAAAAAAATAACAACAAACCCAAAGTATTCTAGGATGAGATGTCAACACAAGGTAGCAATAGAGTGTATTAAAGGGGGAATGTTAGAGAATAATGGTGTTGAGGCTTGAAGTCCCGCTGAACGTCTTTAGGGTTACCAGGTAAACAGTTTTTTGGGTGACACCTGAGAAAGCTGAGTTGATATATTAGACAAAAAATCAGTTCATATAAAGATCAATGTCCTCTTTAATTCTGAAGACAAATGAATTGATATATAAATGAATACATACATAAGTAATATAAATAAATATTTACCATATAGAAAATTGATTTGTACCTTTGATATTTCTCTCTACCTGCCAACCTGACTTTATTTATTTGTTAAATTTACTCCACACGGCTTCATATACCTTAACATTCCTCTCTTTATCATCTTTACAATATGTCCTCTTCCCCTGTCCCCTGTCCGTCTCCGTATGTCCAGCGTGTACATATCACATCTCCCTCATACTAGTATAACTATTGGCTTCTGGACGACCATAGGCAGCAGCGACCACTGAGTGTCTGTCCCAGCCAGGTATAACGGAGGTACACGACTTATCACACTTGTGGCAGTATTGACATGGTGTTGGCAGGTGACCGTGCAGGTATTGACTACTTGCTCTGTTGTTACAAAGTGAGAAATTCTCAACCATAAACTAAATGTTGGATATCCCATTGTTATTGGGTGACACTGAAAGAGCATTTATGTTGACTTATTTTTTTTTATTATACTTATAAATGTATATAATGTTAAGTGGCGATAATTAGAATGACCTAAAGTTTCCGCTTTAGTGATACTTAAGATGGTAAAGAGTTACACAGTCATGCTGGAGGTAATGTGTTGGTAATTGGCCGTGTTTTATACGCTAAATGTATACGATATTATATTTCTTAGTGGTTGTAATGTCACTAGATATATTGTACACAAGTTATATTACTAGGGGTTACCTGAAGCAAGACCAAAAATAAGCGAATATTTCTTTTTCATAGGAATAGACACGCGCTACAGGAGGCGAGTGATCCCCATTGCTTATTTTTTGCAGACATTCCGTCATGCATCACAGACAGGTTGTAAAAGTCAACATAAACTATCGTCAGTCGCGTGGTTCTGGGATCACGGATCACAGGTTGATATTATCATTTATATCTCAAACTTATATATATATATATATATATATATATATATATATATATATATATATATATATATATATATATATATATATATATATATATATATATATATATATATATATATATATATATATATATATATATATACATACATACATACATATAATTTTTTTTTTATCTAGGCGAATATGCAAATATTAAGTCGACAGAACTATTGAATTACGTATGTCTCTTTTCACTGACGAGATAACTGGGTTTGCCTTAAGAATGTTGAGGTAATGTGAGTTAAGTTCCAGTTAGGGAAGTAGCAGAGATAGCCAGAATATTCTCTGTGGGTAATATACTTCTTCATGAAGTATATAAAACGTATTATGTGTTTCTTGGGGAGTAGGGTAACTGATAAATATTTAACATGAGAAATACTGGAGATGAATTCTATGAGCGTAGTCATAGACTTTGGCTTATTAACACGCAACGTACAGTATATGCTAACAAAATTAATTAACTACACAATTTAAGACTCATATTTGTACTGCTACTACTAATGTTAATAATAATAGTAAATAATAATAATAATAATTACTTTTTGAAGATAGCCGTCTATTATGTTAATTTCAATATACATCAAATAGGCGAATTAAGCTAACAAACGTAAATAACGAAAAATTGAAAGGTAACTCACATGTGCTCGTGCTGGGAGCTGCTTGTCTGACCGTCTGGCCACCTTAGGATACATCCTCTCCTCACCTCGTCATCCTTGTACCTAAGGGATAGAACCAGCCTTTGTTAGCTCCTGTCTCGCCAAATCATGATCACCACCCGAGGGACGGACCGAGCCCTTGTTAGTGGCATAGGACACCTAAATTATGATCTAAATTATTTGCATACCATTCTCATCTTACCTGTGGAAAAAATGACAATAGAAATTCGTTCATATTCATATAGTATTCCGGGAATGAGGTCGTCATATTAAATTTCACAGCTTTATTTTCAGTAAACCAGAATGACCTGTAAAAATTATGCATATTTAAAATTTGTAATGCTACATTACATTTTCCTGGAAAAAAATTAATGAACACAAATCTACTGTGCGGTCATTGTTGTGGTTTAAATGCGACATCCAAGCTGTCTGCAGGAGTATTTATTGTTCACCTCTTCGTGTGAATTATTACAGAGTATTCAATAAATAACACAACCTATAGTTAGTTAATTCATAATGCTGTAAGTTTTCACACTAAATTTTCTTTGTTCACCTGTACACACCACTCTTGCTTTTCGTTATGCCTGAAACAAAAATAAACACTGTGTTCCGTTAATAATTTTACTTTAAAGACATCAATACACGTTTGATTATTATATTTCAAGGGTTTATGTTACACAGTTATCACTCTGTAATTACGGTAACATATATATTGTTTATTTTTCACTTTTAATGTATGTATTAATGATATGCAAATAGCTTTTACGACGCCTATATGTACACACGCACTTATCACAATCCAGCTTATGGACAATTACTTATTCACCTTTGATTGTACATAAACATTAACTCTAATTATGTTGAAATAAGCACAATCAGAGATCTAACTGTAATAATTTTAATCCACACTGAAACCAAAGATGAAATGCTTGAAAATTAAGTGAGGTAATCCGAGAATGTATAAAAAAAAAGTCGGTCTACGTTTTGTTCTCTGGATTCTTTTATTTTAAGTGGATGATCCCGAGAACTACCTAGACTCAAACGATCTGAGAATATCTTTCAGATATGGTAGGTAAGATTAGGTAACTGTAGATATTGTTGGTATGCTTTGGTCCACGTGCATTATTGTTATTGATAGCCTCGCAGTTTCTATCTGGATGTTTATATAATGTTGCTGTTGAATCGCATACAAGACTCGGGTTAACCCCAGTTGAGGCTCCAGTTGCTGTAATTAGTGTAAAGAAGAGGTTTTGTGTGAAGCGCCTGCAGGTCTTCGTCGGGTATATTAAAAAAAAAGTTATTTTTTTTTAATAAACTAATAACCTTAACAGTTTTATAATAGCTGGAAATTGTACGAGTTAGATTTATTAAAGTATATAATTGTATGCAACTGACTCTCGAGCGGTAGTAATAGTTTTTCTTCTATAGAAAGTCAAGTTATGTTGTTATATTGTAAAGTATTCCTTCAAGTATATAACATCTTAAGGTTATTTTATTTCAATCTGTATCAGTTGTGTACCAAATTATATTCATAATTTTGGTGTTTAAATATTAAGTAAATTGAATTCAGGTAAAGTTTTAGGCCAATTAGATAAAATTAAACCTTTTGATTATAAAGTTTATTGTAAAAAATTAGTCCACGAGGTCAAAAGATTGTTTATATGTTACAAAATTATAAATCGAAAAAATCACATGTCGAAATTTAAAAAAAAATACAGGGATTTTGTAAGATTTTCATCCAATAAATATAAATTCTAATGTTAAGAAAATAAAATTATTTTAGTCTTAAACCTTCGTCCAGCAGTAGTCACGGTGGATAGATTTATATCAGTTGTTGTAAGACAATATAATTTAAAGCGGTCCATCTCCTTTCACCATTAATTGACAATTTCCTCAAGTTAATTCCATATCGAAAGAATCATACCTTCGCCTGGGCTTATCTATGCTCCCCCTGATTCAATTTCAGTCACAACACACGTCATTACTTTTCATGTCAATTATCATTTCTTTTATCATGCCACTTGTAATTCCACGTAAAACGCCACTTAACATGCTGCTCAATCATGCCAGTTCCGCTTAGTCGAACCTCTGCACCGTCCACCTCCTCCTCCCAATACCTCTCGTCAATGGAACTTCACCGTCTCATTATATCCCATCAACCCAAAACCTGGATCACTTTTAAATGTATTGTACGTAACCAAACTTTTATTGCACGTTTATACATTATATTATCATATTTCTCATTGAGTCTATCAGGCAAGATTAGGTTGAAAATAAGTACTTTTCAGTAACTTTATTTCATTTGCTAAGAAAATTAAAACTGTTTACAGGAATTTCATATAATATTAACATAATTTTCACTGCTTAAAATTATTCTTATATAAATGATGGAACTTTTTGAATCCTGTTGAACAAAAAATTTTATTATTGAAATGTTGGTGAAAAAAGTAGAGTTATTTATTGATAAAAATATAATGTTTTAACTCGTTATTATTTCTATTGTCACAAAAGCAGCATTTCACAGTACAGTATTTCACTCAGTATTGTTCGTCTAACTGTATTTTGAAGTACGAATAACTGAGGCAGAAATTGGTATGAAATTCTGATGATGATAATGGCGGAGGCAGTATTGTTAGGGAACATAAATTGGGAATACTATTTTATATAACATTCTGTAACGTGAAACATTACGGTAAAAATAAGGGAATCATTAAAAAATTTGTCGAAAAAAAAAATAAAATGGTAAAAATTACGTTAATGAATAAGACTGAGTGTGTTCAAGAAACAATAAGTGATTTTACTTTTTCCTGCAAATATTATTCATTGACTTATCCTATGACAAATATATTGGTTTTATTAGCCCCTACTGGAACAAATTTCTTCCCATCATTTACCTTGATAACGTTTCTAAAGTTGAAAATTTGATCTTCGTTATTGAATTTTGGTTTATTTTAGTATTCATGGCTAATGACTTCATCTCGTTTATAGTTATCACATTCACATCTGCCACTTAAAAGACATTAGTTGACATCATGAGGTCACGAGATTGAGGTAATGACGGGTGCCTCTCAGGGTGGTCGTGTAGGCATGGTAGTATGGTTGTGAAGGTGTGATTGTATGGGCATGGGAGTATGGTTGTGAAGATGTGATTGTATGGGCATGGTAGTATGGTTGTGAAGGTGTGATTGTATGGGCATGGTAGTATGGTTGTGAGGGAGTGGTTGTGTGGGCATGGTAGTATGGTTGTGAGGATGTGGTTGTGTTGATATGGTAGTGTGATTGTGAGGGTGTGGTTGTGTGTGCATGGTAGTATGGTTGTGAGGATGTGGTTGTGTGGACATGGTAGTATGGTTGTGAGGATGTGGTTGTGTGGGCATGGTAGTATGGTTGTGAGGGAGTGGTTGTGTGGGCATGGTAGTATGGTTGTGAGTGGTTGTATGGGCATGGTAGTATGGTTGTGTGAGCATGGCATTATGGTTGCGATGGTGTGGCTGTAAGGACAATTTTGCATGGGAGGTTGTGAAGGGATGAAAGAAATTGTGTAGACTTGTGCCATTCTGGATTACTAACGCGTGTGTGCGTGTGTTCACATATGGGAAAGGTAGGTAGGCTTTAGTGCAAGTGAGAGCGTGAGTCAAAATAGGACACGTTTGGACCGGAGACAGACACTCAACATTATAAGTTGACCTATGCACAACTCCTGGACTTACGGACACACGGAAAGCCATTACTCATTTTAATACTTTACATTTGATGAATATAAATTGCAAATTTGTCTCTAAAAGTGTTAGGAAATATTATTCGCATGTACTGTAAGTAATTATGATCGAAATCAATGTAGTTTCAAAACAATGATATATATATATATATATATATATATATATATATATATATATATATATATATATATATATATATATATATATATATATATATATATATATATATATATATATATATGCTGATAACCACCACCTGAAGATGTGAATTACACGAAAGCGCTTGGGAACTTCGTGTTTTCTTGTTTCCTTGTGGTATATATATATATATATATATATATATATATATATATATATATATATATATATATATATATATATATATATATATATATATATATATATATATATATATATATATATATACAATGAGTGAATTAGATGGTAAATTGTTGAAAGAAAAAAAGCAGTGTACGAGGCTCCTGTAGATTTTGGTGGTAAAACTGAAGTAAACATTGGACTAAGATGATCGACGCTAATGGTCGCTTTTAAAGGTGAAGTGTCGGCAAATACTGAACCTAAAATAACTTGGCTATTGTTTCCTAAATTAGTGATAATGCAGGAGTGAAACGCGGCTAATGGGTGAAGGTCACACTAAGTTTAACTCATTTGACACCAGACAGGAATGAAGATAAAATTAGGTAGATAATTCTAACACGTGCGTAATATAATAACTTCTTTTCCACTATGTCAATGTTGGGTGTTATTACAATTTCAGCTTCTCGCTAGAGCCACAATTTTAACCCAGTGGTCTTCTTAGTCGAAGTGTTTTGGTGATACTTAGTTGGAATATGAGTATACAAACACGTAGACTACACATCAGCACAAACACAAGTTATAGTATTTAATTTATATGTACTTGATATTCTTGCCAGATGCTTCTGATAACATTATAGAGGGTACCTGCTTACAGTACTAGGACCACGTTTCATATAATATGGAATAAACTGTTGAAATTGAAATTGAATTCAAGTACACATACACACTCAAACAAGCTCGCTCGCATATTTTTTTCAGTATCCCAAACAAAGACAGTAAGATAAGTATGATTTCTAAAATACATGTTTGTATTTGTTGTGGCATCGTGGGTGTTTGCCAAGGCTTCATGGGTGACTAGAAGAGAGACGAAGAATATTTGTGATATTTACACTATTTGGTGAGGTGTATCTCCTCACATTCATATTTCAAGGAAGCTTTATGTCAACCTTTGTGTTATCTAAAGTTTAGTTAATGTTGTAAGTACTGTACATATATTATGTTTTTCTTATTTTCGTTGAGATGTCGTATAAAATAAAGCAACTTGTTGTAATGTAAGAAAACATTAGGAGAACATTTATTTATGACGATCAAGTTCACGTTCTTGTTTGTAAGTTTAAAGTGCTTCTTACGTAAGAAATATTGTTTTTCCATGAACTGAATTTAACGAATCACGTGAATTAGCAGTAACTGAAACGAACTAAACTGCATATTTTCCGGCAGAGAGGAAAGCGTTAAATTGTAAATTACGAGAGATATTTCATTTATTTAAGGATTAGTGAAGCTTTGATAAACACCAAAGGCATAAAGATGCTAATGGATGTCAAAGGAAACCTGGCCTTTGGTGGGGTTCCTTCCGCCAGCAATATATATATATATATATATATATATATATATAGATATATATATATATATATATATATATATATATATATATATATATATATATATATATATAGATATATATATATATATATATATATATATATATATATATATATATATATATATATATATATATATATATATATATATATATATATATATATATATATATATATATATATATATATATATATATATATATATATATTGATATAAAGCCACTTTACGAAAAAAACGGATAAGGTCATCCGAATGTTCACAAATAAAGTTATAATAAAATTAGCCTGTCTTAGAAGACTTCTCAGCTTTTGTTCTTTATCGTCATCCAGTATTCTGGCTCTCGACACAGATGTCTGCTGTCTTCAACCTTCTGAGACATAGTTCTCTTACAGACAAGCCTGCCGCACATAACAATAACAGATAGCATACGTTGATAACATATACCTGAGAGACACGCACACACCTTTCAACACCGTGGATGTGCCTGGAACTCGCTGGTCTGACCAAATAAATAAGATAAAGAGATTCTTGGTCATCGATATTTTTTCTTCTTGTTTATCGTATTCTCTCCTCTTTCTTTTGTTTTTCCTCTCTGTCCGTTCCATCTGGGTTTCCTCTTTTACTGCTGTCATTCAACCTCCATTGTCCCTCCTCGGTGTTTTTTCCTATCATGTTTTGGTCAACCTCTTCTCTCTCTACCTCTACAACTCCTCTTACCAGTTATTATACACATTTTCTTCACAGTAATGTTTTAAGTCCCAGTGATAAAATATTACTACATGGATGTTACTTTACCTGTACTGCAATACAAGCACCTGTACTGATTTTTCTGATAATGTTCTTTTTAATCTGAATTTCATCACACGATAACTAGGGAAAACATTACGAAAAAGAATTCAAAGGAACACAATAGTTTTTATTATCTATGGAAATATGTAAAGTGTCAAGACAAACAAGATGTCTTACCGAGAAAAAAAAATCATATATTTTTAGTAACGTTGCATTTTATTTTGCTATTATTTTTTTTCTTTCTGTCAAAGGATTTTTTATTTAACAACCACACATTTCCACTCCGTTAAAATAGTATTCACTGACGTCTGGCCGAGGTCAAGCCTTTGTTCTCGTCCTGCCGTGCCTGTGACTGCCAGAACTGTGTCAATAGAGGTTGAGGTAGTTTAGTTCTGCCACGCTTTTTGTGTCTGTTTGTATCCTACTGTCGTGTTTAGTTGAAACAGTGTATATGTGTATCTGTCATTAATAGTTCATAATAGTTAGTGATTTTGATTTTCTTCATAAAACTTAGAGGTGCACAATTATTTGACTGATATCACTTGCAAACTTACACACACACACACACACACATAAACGAGAGGTGAATGACACTAACTTTATGTAGTTAGAGTTTACTTCTCGAGTTAATGTATTCACTCTGTGTGGACCCTAATTTTATGTGAATATTCCCAGGGACATAAAACATGGAAGCAATATTCTGATGACTGGTTAACCTCTCTCTCTCTCTCTCTCAGCTTAACGACACGACACAATAGCTAGGGATGACCTACGTGAAGGAGACGGTAGTGGAGTACAGGAGACACGGGAGGGACAGCACCATAGATGAGCTCCAGATCACTAAGATGAAGACTCGCGCCGACGTCTTCGACATCCGAGGTTCCAGGGGCTTGACGATGGCGATGTACCTAAGGGAGAGAAAGCGTCTTTTACTTGTGGCTGAGAGAGAGAGAGAGAGAGAGAGAGAGAGAGAGAGAGAGAGAGAGAGAGAGAGAGAGAGAGATGAATGTTATCTACCTGTGGCAAAGGGAGGGAGTGAGGATATTCATTTACCTATCGTAGGGGAAGAGAAGGATGGGTTGAAAATATATTTTTCCCCTATCGGGGAGGGAAGTAGAAACACCAAAAAAAGTACCTGCATCAACTGGTGACACTGTAACTACTTACACTGACACTGTTGCTGTAGACGATGGTGTTATCACTGAGGTCAGGTGTTAGTGTAACGTAATTAGTAGGGTCTGTGTTGCTTGGGGAAAATTACATAAATGTATTAACAAACATAAACTTGAACTTGGACTTGCGCAAGAAACTGTACAAACACTCACACACTGATATAATTCTCTCTCTCTTATTATATATATATATACAGTATATATATATATATATATATATATATATATATATATATATATATATATATATATATATATATATATATATATATATATATATATATCTTTTCTTTCACACACGCTTTTCACCCTTCCACGTGTCATCAGACCCGCCTCTTTCGCACAGTTTCCTCTCTCCCCATGACGTCATACCTGTCGAATGATATAGCCATCAAGGTGAAGACGCTGGCTGAGATGGTTACGTTGGCCATAAAGTTGCTGATGGTGCAATACACAGCCCCAAATGGCCAGTCGCTGCAAGGGAGAAGTTGAGTATAAGAAAAAACCTTTATGGTAATTGTGAACGATGTCCGTTACATAAAACAGAAGAATAAATTCGTTAAAATAACTATTTTTCTACAGTTACTCAAAAAGTATATGCAAGTGTGCAGTCAATTATTCTTGTTTTAGTTTCTGTAAGGCAAGAAGTTGACCTATGAGGCTTAAGAATAATAGTGAAGAATAAACATTGTCTTTCTACATACTTCATAGAACCGTATATACTTTGTAAGTGAAGCGAGTATGAAGCAGGGAGGTCATGTTACAAGGTATAAGTACAGGTAAGTAGTTGTTAGACACATGATACGTGGTAATAAATATTGTATTAATTTTGGTCCTTATCGGTGGGATTCAAACCGGTGATATGTAGTATCAGACCCCATCTCCCCACCTCTAGAATCAACTGAATCAGTGAGATCCCTTATAAGAAATAAATTAATTTTAGGTAATCGTTCACCAAAGTTAAATCGATTTATTATTTGGTATCACAGGACGGCAGTTACGTCAGAGTTACGAGGATTTTTTTTTCAGTGGTCCTCATCACCAATCTTCTTTCTTTTTTACATCTCAAGAAAAGGCCAAGGGAGAGTGGCGACACCCTTCTCAGAGAGTGCCACACATAAAAATACTTTTACAGGACCTCAAGTTTGGGCCTGACAGTCTTTCAGTTGGCTGGGGTTTCGTAAGACAAGAACCGTCAACTTCTTGTACGAAGATGGAGCAGGATTTTGCAATATTTCCAGTGTTCAATAAACAATAGTAGCTTCAAGAGAGAAAATAAATAGAGAAGAAGGCCGACAGTAAGACAGAGAGAGAGAGAGAGAGAGAGAGAGCCCTACAGTTGGGTTGATTTGGTTTATTAGTGCTGGAAGTTTCAACAGTTTTACTTTTAGCCGTTACAATATAGAATTAAATACAAAAATTTATGGTGATAATATTTTAAAGCCGTGAATTTGGTACGAATATTACAATAGTTGAGGACAGAAAACAATAACAGAATAACTTTGATACATCACGTGTTGGGGATGGAATGATATGACAAATATTGTACGACCAGAAAAGTCAAATTGTTTCCCTTGGGAGGAATCGCTGTGGGGAATTCACCTTCAATTGCGATTTTTTTTTTCGGGAAAGAACCAGGAGCTCTTAGGAGAAAGCGAGCACTGCATCCATTAGGTCGTCGCCTGGCTACACAGGAATATTGGTGACTCAATGATGTGAATTAACAAGTAAGACCACCAGCGAGTCCTGTAACATCTCAATCATTCCTTCCTTCTGGCTCAGTAGGTTACTTTCAGAGGCTTTGCCGGGGATAAGATGACAAGAAGACTAATGCAAACCTCCGAGGAATATCACCTGCAAATTATCGAGACTCTCAGCCACTAGAGACTATATTTCCTGTACATCAGCCATTAGTTTAATATCCCTAGACCCTTAAGCTATTAATTTAATATTTCTGTTTCTAGTATGAAATATTTTTATGTGTATGAAACGTGTTTAGGTTTCCCCTGGCCCACGTAGGTGTTAATCAAATTTAATTGTACCAAAAAGGTCATCTGGAGCCGTAAGTAATGTATCATATCACAGATGTAAATACCCAATTAATGCACTTTTATTTAGAAATGATATTACACAAGTGATGTACAGACTCGTTCAAGATTCTTCGAACACTGTTGGAGACACCTGGCAACTCAAGGCCGTTTGTTTACTGTAGTATGTAGTATAATATAATAGGAAACTACAAAGCCCAACCATTAATTAAACAACGGGGAACTAAGTAACCAATACCCGATAATGTTGTCCATTCATTCATATTTTTTACTCTGTACTATAGTTACCAAACAGCCTTGAGTTGCCAGCTGTCTCTAGCAGTGTTCGAAGAATTTTGAACGAGACACTACATAGTGTAATGCTAGAGAGACAAGTACTGTAGAATGGAAACACAGGTATATTTAAAACTTCACTCGTATTTTCACGTTGCGTACCACTTCATCCCACCTGTTGTAGCTTTATCCTACGTAACGTAAATCTCTATCAGAGGCACATATTAGAAAATATGAGTGTGGGTTAGAAGCGGCTGACTGACTGTCTTTTACGGTTTTAACTCCAGAATACACTAAAATTATTATTTACTAAATAGGGATAATTGCCGATTAAGCCTTAAAAAGTAGCTTGGGTCTTCTGCCGAATAGGGATAAAAAAATATACTGTTGTAATTCAATGGGAATTAATTCGTATATGGTAAACTTTTCTGTTTCACTGAAGGCAACGCACCGTCTACTCTCATAAAATAGCAAAATTACACCTAAAATGGATTAGGTTAGGCTAGGCTAGGGTAATTTTTGTATGAAATTATTCATTTGTATGTATTTTCATTGTCTGTATGATGGATAACGACCAGTCAAAAGTTTCCCCAAAAGTTAAATATAATTGACTCTCCTGGGAGCATAACCATTTAATTAGTAATGATATCTCATCCCCTCATTATACACCTTCAACTATAACTTTCTATCCACTCGGCTACATTTCGAGGAAACTTGGGGCCGAGTTAGCCCAATGGTCCATATAGCGATAAATTGGCACTAGGATGCTGAAGCCAATTACTTGTGGATTCCAGAGACGAATCTACTGACGATATACTGTAGATCCCAAGAGAAAATATCTTTCCCATGTGGTTCTCAATCAAGTGAGTCTCAATTTGTCAGTCACGAGTTTATCTCAGTTGTAAATTTTGTTCGGTTAATCACGAGATATTCACATCGAGGGTTGAAAAAGTCTCCGGACCACAGTAGGAAGGTAGTAGTAATAAGCATCGGTAATGACACATAAGGATGGTGTACTTGTGTTCTCAATCATGCCTCAGTAATCCCTTTAGATGGATGATTACATGGAATTTGTAATCATTTTCTTTCAAATTTTATGTCTTTTGGAGATGATTATATTACAATGGATCATAGAGGATTACAGAGCATCAGAAAGGGTTAAATAGGATGAAAGAGGAGACTGGTATATCAGAGCAGACCTTATGCAATTATTGATGATTACAGATATACAAATTCTCATAAGCTCTTAAAAATTTCAAGAGAGAACAGATAACTAATAATCAAAAGATATCAGTCACAATAATAATACGTCTGTCATTAACACACTTATTGTATTATGTACTCTCCTCTCAGTCCATCATTCAGTCCATTCATCTATGTCTTAAGACGTTTCCGAAAGCTCTTTAATCCTATATAGAATAAAGCTCTAACTTGCCTCAGTTTGTCTCCAGATAGAGTATTTTTTCTATAATGTTATAAGAAAAATGGATGTTGGAAAAGTTCACAATCTCTTTTTTTTCCGGAATTTGGTTGACAGAGGAACTACGGAAAAGTTAGTATAGATTTTTCGTTATATTTTTGGTCGACAGGAATCGTAATAAAAAAAAATTGAAAAACAAAAACAAAGTCAAATGGGAGAAATTTTGAATTGTATACACACACACACACACACACACGCACACACACACACACACACACACACACACACACACACACACACACACACACACACACACACACACACACATATATACACGGAACAATATTTAGTTAGAGACCTTAAGAATAAAACACACACACACACACACACACACACTGGAAACATACAAACAAAAACCTATTAAGACACACAAACTAAAACTTAATCAAGGAAGGAAAATTTTACGCGCACAATCCTATCAAATACTCATATAAACATGCGGCACAAGAACATCAACGTACACAGAAAAACAGATGATTTTAATCCAATAAAAAACGCGCAAACAGACAATTCACTCTTTCAGGTTAAGTTTTTAATATACAAACACACAACAAACTGAGTCTCAAACACAAACAAATCGACGATACACTAAGGTACACAGATACAAACACACAAAGGTATTAGATGCAAACATACAAACACACGATTAAAAGAAAGAAATCAGTATACACTAACAAATTTCACTTCAAATTATAAACAAGGAAACAGACGAAGCACTTGAGGTAAACAGAGACCATGGAATTAAATCAAAGGAAAGATGAGAGTAATTATGAGATGATACCTGTTAAAATAGTCTAGTGATGTATGAGTAACCTGCAAAGAAACACGAACATTTATACTAATATATATACACACCAGCGACAGACATACACGCACTATCTATTTTTATCCGACTAGGTAAATATAATTGAATCCGTATAAAATATTTTTGCATTTTAGATGATGTTTATTAGACATCCAAAATTTGGTGAACACAGGGGCGGGACGTCTTCTTCACTCATAATATTTACAGTATATTTACTAACAGAATTACCTGGCTTCGTTGGGTTATGTATATATTGTATAAATGTGACTGTATTAGTCTGCCATACGTGACACGGGTAACCACTTCAACCCAACCCAACCCAACCCAACGTAACGTAACCATCTCCCGCAATCGTCATGGCAATATATCAGACTGGGAAGATTTTTGGTTCTTACCCGGGCACAACCTTGGTACCCATGTGATGTGTGTGTAAAGTTTCAGGTCTCTAACTTTATTTCTGGAGCCATTGTTTTCATAAGTATGCATCGTCACTTATAAGGTAAACAAGGAAGGATTAAGTACCTAAACTTAGTATTTGCCAAAAAAGTTTGTTGTACAAAAAAAAAATATGAGTGGTGGAAGGTCTGGTAAACATAAGATAATTTGAGCCAGCACTGGCATATACAGTATAATATTTACGAGGCAGGACTGAGCGCTTTTCCATATTGGAAAATACCAGAGGCGATGATGGGTGGTGTCGATGCGAGGCTGTATATTTACTACCTGGTGAAGCCTCCCTCACTCATCCTGTAGCTCGTGTTATATGCAGCACCCATAATCTATAGTGTGCGTGTGTGTGTGTGTGTGTGTGTGTGTGTGTGTGTGTGTGTGTGTGCTGCATCACGCTGCCAGTGACCCGGGCAGTCAT